TGCTTGCATATGCAGCAATACTAAGCATAGATAAAGTAGACCCACTTAGAGGAGTCTAGAACGCTCTGCTTAGAAATACAAACAGAGGAGAGGAAGCATAAATACCTCTAGCTCTCCCCCCTCTGTTCGCTCTGTACCTAGCCTAGGAATCTCTACCTAGTATCTAATATAATAACTTGTCTATTATATTACATAACCCTACCTTACCTCTATTAGGCTATACGCTTCCTATTTGGACAAAGCTAGTCTAGATTTGTCTAGGTCCTTCTAGACTAGGAAGAAAGTAGTCTAGTCCTTCACCTACTTTCTTTACACTTACTAAAGGCGTAACGTGTTTCACAAGCGAGCGCCGCACCCAACCGAGCGCCGCACTTTCAACAACAGAACGCCTGCGCAGCGCTATATCACAACACAACATGAATAAATAATTATTTGCAGGCCTAGATAGTATTATTTAGAAGCTTTACTATTATCTATATCCTCTATTTCTACCTTGCAAGTGTAGGAATTATGTCTAATCTTACTATAACACCTACAGTGTTATCTAACATATACCCTCTTTATAGGCGTCTTACCCTTACTACAACCTCTACCCTCCTTTTTAGTAATTAAGTTAGCTACTTTACTAACTATAAGGGTCTCCTCTATGCGTATATATTATTGCTTATAGGTCTTGCACTTTATAGACGCTTCTACAGTGTCTTAAAGGTGGCCTATTTCCTCCTACATTAACACTATATTATAAGCTATCTACTAAGCGCCCTTTGCTAACTGTTTAACCTACTTATCTAATAAACTTACTAGAGACCCTTAATAGATTTAAATCTGCTTTTAAATTAGAGTTAACTGCTCCTCTACTTTGTAAGTAGTGCGTGGTGTCTTTAGCTCCTAGGCAACGTTGCTAGGTTTTAGTAGTGTTAGCGTGCGCAGGCGCACATTAAGCTTTAATAACACCACCTCTAGGTTATATAGGACTAGCCTAGCACCTCTAAAGCCTGCGCGAATGTTCTCTCTAGTAAACGCCTTACTAAACACTAATTTAAAGGCTAGTAGGAAGGTTTCCTTATTAATATAGTAGATGCAACTGCATGCTAAGGCCAAAACCTCGTCGCTATACAGGCGCTTTAGTGGCGAGAAGCAGGCAACGTTAAGTGGCTGCAACAGGTGCGACGAGTGTGGGGGCATACAGAGAGTGATTATCTTCTTCTCTCTGCAGAGATCTTAGAAAGCCACAAAGCAGTAGCTCTTATAGCTGTTAATAATAAGTAGCTAGTAGACCCTAACTAGCTTCGCATGTGTATTAAAGTAGTAGAGCTAGGCAAGCGCTAGATTATTATTAGTCTAGCTAGTAGGACTAATATTAATAACCTAGTCCTGTAGGAGGTCCTTAGTAAACTAGTTAGAGATAAGAACCTTGCCTGCAAGGATAAGGAATAGTAGGATAACCTTCCCTATTAACCTAACGCCTTATACTAGGGTAACCTACTTACAATTACTAGGTTAGATCTTCTTCTGCTTCCTAGGTTTCCTAAGCCTATTACTACTAGCTATAACAAGATCTTGCCTATTAGGAAGCTAGACTTATTAAAGTTGTACACATCCTTGTCTATAATACTATACTTTGCCTTTATAGACTAAACAAGTGTGAACTAGGGCTAGATAACTGCTAGGTCCTTACAGGCAGCCTGCTGGCGATTGTATAGGCAGGTCCACCGCTTCTAGAGCTCTAGTGTACGCTTTACTAAGTTGTTAACCCAGTTCTTGCTAACAGGCTTTGCGCCGCGCTCTCTTAGCAGTTTATCTGCTATATCTTGTACGTCTGCCTTTAAGGAGGGTAGGCCACGCGCTAATTCCTCAAGTATACATAGTATAACTGCCTCCTCTTCTAGCTTTGTAAGGCGCTTTGCATTTAGCTTACAGTTGCGTTAAGAGCGTGTTCTATTGTGTTAGCGTTAGATTGTTTATTTAGGCACTTTATAGACTTTCTTAGCGCGTTAGATACTTTAAATTTAGTTTCTTAAGATATTAGATATAGTAAGCTGTATATTAGCTTTAGTATAGAGTGTAGGAGCTTGTTGTGGTTGAGACATTACGCGCTGTTGTTGCGCCGGCGTTCTGGCAGCGAGAGTGCGGCGCTCGGTTGGGTGCGGCGCTCGCTTGTGAAACACGTTAGAGCTAATAGCACATTTACTAGTTTTAGTGCGTAACTAGGTTACTAACCTTTAGGTAGCTAACAAGGCTGCTATATGCTGTAAATTATATAAAAGAAAGTAATTACAGCAAGATAGGGTATTAACCTTTGCTAAGGGAGTGCAGCTAACTACTCTAAAGGAGTTTAAGGCCTATAGTAATAGGAAGAAGGTAAAGAAGAGAGGAGGCGCTAATAGCAGCACTTAGTTATTAAGACACTGTAGCATGTGTGGCAAGGCAGGGCACTAGGCTGGCGGAATGGGTATACTCCAACGTCCTTCGTGGGTACCCCCCAAAAC